CATATTGCATTTCTTGCTAATCTTCAGTTCATAATTCCTCCAGGAAAATAATTCAGACAGCTTTCATACAGGGTAGGAATCAAGCAGGGAAGGGGTTTGTGGAGGTGGTACCCAGGAGTTGATAGTGACAAGCACCTGAGGATTTTTGACTTGTACTTTTGTGAATTGAGAGGATGCATAAATGATGTTGGTGAGGACAAGTACAGATATTTCATATAGAATAGAATGCTAGTTACGACATTTGTGGGTAGTTTGTTATTTTTTTAGTCCAAATGATCTTGATGTGGAAAGATGTTTCTGGGAGAAGGTAATCAGTAACTGATTTTTTTCCCCAATCACCCTTGCCAAATGTGACTGTTACAATTACAATACTATTGAGTGATTATTTGTAAAATGATTTATAAATATAGGAAATCCATCTCTCCACAGCCTAAGTTACACTTAAATTTCAGGAAGCCTGACTACACTAAAGAGACATTTCTTCTAGGGCAGTCTTCTTGGTAACTTTGAAATTGTTTTTATAAGTTGTTCTTTTCTCAGATTCAGTTCCTTCTGATGTTTTGTGGCTCACTATCACTCACTGAATAGAGAAAAATGTGCCCTGCGCTTCCTGTGACAATCATTTTGCTGACAGAGTGATGGTGTTTTGAAATATTGCACAGGAAGTGCCTTTAAGAAAAGTCCCTTGGGACCAGAAGCAGAGCCACCTCTCTGCAGAAGACCTCTTGGCTTTCAGTGTAACCTAAGTCAGGATTGGGAACCATCAGCTGTCACAGAATTCAAGCATATTTAAGGGCAGTTTCTTTGATTCTCAACGTTCACTATTCATTTTTGATTGAGAAACCTGTACGGTTAATATGGCAAAGTGCACAGATAATGTCTTAACAACTGAATCATTTGCAGGGTTTTTTGTTTAAAACTGGGTTTCAGTGTAAGCAAATGAAAGAAAAAAAGCCACAGATTTCACAAATACAACTTCTGATCCCTGTATGGAGGTAATAAATCATTTCGTTTCCTTGCCTCAATTTTCCTACTCTCTACCCTAAAGCAATTTGTAATGTTTCCCTTTTTGAAGGGGCGGTTCATTAAACTCTCAATTTCTCTATAAATTAAGATAGAACCTATAGATACCCCAAATCACCGAAATGTGAAAAGCTAAATTGAAGATATTTTGTCTTCAATAATGCCAAATATCTAGATTTTTAAAAATTTATCAATATTTAACTAGATAATTGGCACATCTTATTCTGTTATGCACCCATTTATTCACATTAATAAAACTGATGTCAGTGCGTACCCATTGATTCATTCTCTTACCAGAATATAATTATCCGTGAGGAAGAGATTTTTAAATACTATGAGTGATAATATTACAGTTAATGATGTACACCTTTTGATTGAATCCCACACAGTCAGGGAGGCCAAAAGCATAATATTTTCATATGATTCTTAATAGTTACTTGGCTTAAAAATCACATTTGATATTTTCCTTCTGAAAAATCTGTGGCAAACCCATACACTGCAGTCAAGATTATAGATTGGTTAAGAAGAATGAATGTACCTATTTGGTTTTAGGTTGAAATAACAAACAGTTCCTCATGGTCATTTTTGTGGAGCTATTATCCTAGAAAGGTCCCCAAAAGCTTTGTGATTGTCACAATCAAAGAATACGGTGTCCTGTACTATGATACTCAATTTAGGGAGAAACCAAACGGAGAGAGGTTACCTCACTTCTCTCAGGGAAAATCAGGAGTTGAACACAGGACAGGAGATGGTCTTTGCCACTTTCAGCTCCAGGCTTTTCCCACTAGACTTTATTCTAGAAAGCTCACTAATGGTCAGGCAGACCAAGTACTACACAACTAACCTTTATCGGGGGTTTTACTTAAGAGAGGCTAATTTTTTATTTCAGTTGCTCAAGATAAGAGTTCTGTAAAAGGTGACCGCCATCCTTGGCCCTCTGGGCATTATCACTAGGATTAATTGCTTGTGGCTATTAAAGAGAATGCTGAGCAGAATGTTCTTCCTATAGTTTATACCGCTGGTTCCTTTCATGTGATTCTTGACATGTTTATTTCTACCCTTAATGCAATGAAATATTTCACTAATAAAAAAACTTTCTATGAAATTGCGCTGGAAATTGTATGTTATGTCATCAGATGTCCAGTGGTCTGTGGAGTTTCATTTGAAAGATGCTCTCTGCCCTCCTGACGGACTCAGGCCTGAGTCACACCCTTGGGCCACCTCTGATTTCAGCTCAGCTGCAGTTACAGGCAGCCTGACAAGCCCCACTTCAAGAAGGTCCCACACTGTGCTCTTCTGCCTCAGAGCTTTCTCCAGAGCCCCGGAAGCCCCTCAGGAGCATGGGGGTTAATACTCCTATGTATTGACGCTCAATCAAAGGGGGCAAGAGTCAGCTGACAAAGGTGCCAGTCCTCAGAGGGACAGTTCTCAGGCTCATTCTACTTGGTTCCTCAGCTAGGGTTGCCCACACCGGAAACTGCTTCCTATCATCATTTCTTCATCCCCTGTCTCACTCTACCCACCCCCTCACTGCTGCTTCCAACCAAATAATCTACCTGCACTAACATCCTTATTCAGGTCTGCTTCCAGGTAAACGCAAAGTGAAATGCAGACAAGTTCACCCGGAGGGCTCAGCAAGATCAGAGAGCTGTTGGAGAAATACCAGACCTTTGTTTCTGTGGACATTTGGACTGAAGTTATTAGTCCAAAAGTTTAGATTACCTTTAAAACCTTTCCCATCCCAATAATATTGCAACTTATTTCTGAAGTCAGAGCAAATCCAGATCAATCATAAAATATTTAGTTCAGTGTTACAAATGTGCTTATGTATTAAGGACACTTGAACCTCAGCATAAGTGCTTCCTAGGAATCCCAAATCTGCTTCACTGGCTCCTGTCACAGGAGAAGCTCCTTGTTTGATCATAAATGTAAACTTTCAACTAAGTTTCATGATGCTCTGGGAACCTGACTCGGAGTTGAGGGAAGGCTTGCCCAAGGAAGTAACATTTAACTGAGACTGAAGAATAGGTGTTAATGAGGCAAAGCGAAGCATTTCAGACAGAGGTAGCAGGAGGTGCCCAGGAACATGTTACAAGCGACTGAGAAAATATTTGGCTGGGATTCAGAGAAGGAAGAAGAATAGTGGGAGATGAGGCTGAAGAGAAAGGCAGCCTTATTGAGCCATGTCAAAGGTTTTGGTCCTTTTCAAGGCAAACGGGAAGGCATTGAAGTATTGTGAACTGGGTTGTTGGTCAGAGTGTGTGTGTGCGTGTGTATGTGTGTGTGTGTGTGTAGGGAGTTGGAATGGGAGATACGACAGGTTTGTTTAGAAAGACTCACTGTAGCTGCAGGGTGAATAAATTGGAAGAGAGTCAAGGTGGATGAAGGGAGGTCAGTTAGGAGGCTGTTGTGTTAGGTGGTTCCTTTAGGGTCCCCACTGGATCTTGTCTGGGTGTCATGCACTAGCCTGCAGGGTGAATTCCACAAAGCCACATACATAGCATAGGTCAAGCAATGGCTTTAATGGGGAAAAACAAAATTCTGGAAAAAGGAAGGCACAGACCCTCCATCTTCCTGTCATCCCATGGTGAGGCAAGCTGAGGGCCAGGGCACTGTTTGGTCTCAGTGCAGAGGGCAGACTCCTTCTAGTCCACCTTTTATAGGGTGAAGTATTGTCAATGGAGGAATACACAAGCAACTGAACAAGGGGCAGTTTGGACTTGGGCTGCCCATGGAACGTTGCAACCTCCACTGCTGGGGTGAAGAAGACACCAGTTACGTGGGACATAAGGTTGGGTGCAGCCCCTTCCCCTCCCCTAGGAGAAGGGGGAACCCCCAGCCACAGCTAGCTCATTTGCCAGACAACCTAGAATGAATCTTGCTCATTGCACCGCGGTAGTCTAGGTAGGAGCTGGCAAACTTTTTTTCTGTAAAGGGCCACTTAGAAAATAGTTTTGGCTTCGCAAGCCTCTCTGTCGCAACTACTCAACTCTGTACTTGTAGCATGAAAGCAGTCATAGACAACACGTAAGCAAACGCATATGTCTGTGTTCCAATGAAACTGTGGACACAATAGGCAGCAGCCCACACTTGGCTCATGGGCTGTCTGCTGATCCCTGGTCTAGGCAAGAGATTACGGTAATTTGAATCAGGAAGATGGCAGTGGAAATGAAATATTTTAGAAATATTTAAAAGATAAAATATGTAGGACTTGGAGATGAAAATGGGAAAGGCAAGGGAGAGAAACATGTCGAGGAAATCATTCATTCATTCCACAGTACTGAATAAGGGCCTATCATGTGGGTGGGCGCTCTGCTAGCACCAGGGGCACAGCCAGTAAATAAAACAAAGTTTGCTGCCCTCATGGAGCTAACATTAAATGGGGGCTGGGGGTCAATAAATAGGTGGTGGTAATAAGAATATTAAAGCAGCCAGTGACAGGAGTGGGGTGTGCAATTTTAGAAAGGGTGATCAGGGATGGCTTCCTACTGAAGAAATAGTCATCCATTCTTTTCCATCTGAGATCGTTCTCCCCTTCCATCCGTAACGTCTGTGATTTGGCTCAGCTGCTGCTGCTTCTTTCTCGCAGGCTCTCTTGAGGGCTGTCTCCTCTGGTCGAATTACTGATGCTCAGCTGCATCTTCTCACTTGATCCTCTCTCCCTGACAATCTCATTGGCACCCAGGCTTCAATTACACCCTAAACATGGGCCT